AACCCTGACGCACACCTTTCCTGACTTTAAACCACACAGTATCCCCTTGTTCTGTCTGAATGACTGCCTCTTGGTCTAAGTAAAGTTTCTTCATGAGCACAATTAAATGCTCTAGAACCCTCATTCTTCGCAATGTTATCCATAATTTGTTATGATCCACATAGTTGAATGTCTTTGCACAGTCGATGAAACACAGGTAAACATCTTTCTGGTTTTCTCTGCTTTCAGCCAGGATCCATCAGACATCAGCAATGATATTCCTCATTCCACATCCTCTTCTGAATCTGGCTTGAATTTCTGGAAGTTCCCTGTTGATGTACTGGTGTAACCACTTTTGAATGATCTTCAGCAAAATTTTACTTGTGTGTGATATTAATGATATTGTTCGATAATTTCTGCTTTCTGTTGGATCACCTTTCTTTAGAATGGGTACAAATATGGATCTCTTCCAGCTGGTTGGCCAGGAAGCTGTCTCCCAAATTTCTTGACATAGACAAGTGAGCGTTTTCAGTGCTGCATCCATTTGTTGGAACATCTCAATTGGTATTCTGTCAATTCTTGCAGCCTTGTTTTTACCAATGCCTTCAGTGCAGTTTGGACTTCTTCCTTCAGTACCATTGATTCTTGACCAAAAAACATCTGTTTTTTCTCATTTTGAGTCATGCCACATCAGCAAATGAAAAAAGCTGTTTAAAGTAGAGCAGGGATCATCGAGATAGCAGCTCTTGATTCGTTTTTTCATAACCCTTCCCAGAAGTGGCATCCCCAATAAGGGACATAAATCTGCCCTGGAAAACCCCTTTCCAGAGTGTCCTCCCTGCTGTAAGGCTTCTGGCCTGGGAACACTCTAGCCAGAGTCTCGTTTTTGTTATGTATGGGAATGCAGCAGCGTTACTGCCTGGGTCAACACATTGTCCTAGCCCTGACTTGGAGGGTCAGATAATACAGAACTCAGAGCACTGTTTTCAATTTTTTCTCCTTCTCTTGAAATGGCTGAACGTCAACCAATTCTTTTTGGTACAGTGACTGTGTATTCCTTCCATCTTTTTTTGATGCTTCCTGCATCGTTTAGTGTTTTCCCCATAGAATCCTTCAATATTGCAACTCGAGGCTTGAATTTTTCCTTCAGTTCTTTCAGTTTGAGAAATGCTGAGAGTGTTCTTTCCTTTTGGTTTTCTATCCTAGGTCTTTGCACACTTCATTATAATACTTTATTTTGTCTTCTCGAGCTGCCCTTTGAAATCTTCTGCTCAGCTCTTTTACTTCATCATTTCTTCCTTTTGTTTTAGCTACTCTGTGTTCAAGAGCAACTTTCAGAGTCTCTTCTGACATCCATTTTGGTCTTTTCTTTCTTTCCTGTCTTTTTAATGACCTCTTGTTTTCTTCATGTATGATATCCTTGATGTCATTCCACAACTCATCTGGTCTTCGGTCATTAGTATTCAACACGTGAAATCTATTCTTGAGATGGTCTCTAAATTCTGGTGGGATATACTCAAGCTTGTACTTTGGCTCTCATGGAATTGTTCTAATTTTCTTCAACTTGAACTTGAACTTGCATATGGGCTATTGATGGTCTGCTCCACAGTCGGCCCCTGGCCTTGTTCTGACCAATGATATTGATCTTTTTCATCATCTCTTTCCACAGATGTAGTCGATTTGATTCCTTGTATTCCATCTGGTGAGGTCCATGTGTATAGTCACTGTTTATGTTGTTGAAAAAGGTATTTGCAATGAAGAAGTCGTTGGTCTGAAAAATTCTGTCATGTGACCTCCAGCATCGTTTCTATCATCAACGCTATATTTTCCAACTACCAATCCTTCTTCTTTGTTTCCAGCTTTCTCTTTCCAATTGCCAGTAGTTATCAATGCATCTTGATTGCATGTTTGATCAATTTCAGACTGCAGAAGTTGGTAAAAATCTTCAGTTTCTTCATCTTTGGCCTTAGTGGTTGGTACGTAAATTTGAATAATAGTTGTATTAACTGGTCTTTCTTGTAGGCGTATGGATGTTATCCTATCACTGACAGCATGGTACTTCAGGATAGATCTTGAAATGTTCTTTTTGACAATGAATGTGATGCCATTCCTCTTCAATTTGGCATTCTCAGCATAGTAGAAATATTATTATCTGATTCAAAATGGCCAATACCAGTCCATTTCAGCTCACTAATGCTTAGGATATCAATGTTTCTGCGTTCCATTTCATTTTTGATGATTTCCAATTTTCCTAGAGTCATACTTTGTACATTCCACCTTTTGATTATTAATGGATGTTTGCATCTGTTTTTTCTCATTTTGAGTCATGCCACATCAGCAAATGAAAAAAGCTGTTTAAAGTAGGGCAGGGATCATCGAGATAGCAGCTCTTGATTCGTTTTTTCATAACCCTTCCCAAAAGTGGCATCCCCAATAAGGGACATAAATCTGCCCTGGAAACCCCCTTTCCAGAGTATCCTCCCTGCTGTAAGGCTTCTGGCCTGGGAACACTCTAGCCAGAGTCTCGTCTTTGTTATGTATGGGAATGCAGCAGCATTACTGCCTGGGTCAACACATTGTCCTAGCCCTGACTTGGAGGGTCAGATAATACAGAACTCAGAGCACTGTTTTCAATTTTTTCTCCTTTCTCACCTTCCTAGAGTCTACTCTACCCCATCTTCAAATGCCTCTCCATCCAACAAGGATAACATTTCCTAAGTCTCTAAGTTTTGCTCCACTGTTGTGCAACATGATATGCATAAAGCAGGTTTTCCACCTCCAAGGTATGCAACTAATGGTTTGGAGAATTGTAAACCCCAGGCTAAAGTGGTTTTTGTCTGTGCAGTTCAGGAAGGTCCAGAAACTCCTAGGATGTCCAACTAAGGGGAAGGTTCACATTGACACCTCCACATATTTTGAGATTGGGAAAGGAACCAGAGTTGGCATGGAACTATGATCCCTGATGCAGGTATTAGGACACCAGACCTAAAAAGCTACACTGGGAGAGCAGCCATGTCTCTTGAGGTCATTTACTGAGGACTCTGAGGAAAATATCAGGAGCTCAGGAAGAGGAAGTGTCTCCCACACTATACTCTGGGTGCAGGGAATCCTTCCTTTCAGCTCTGTCAGTTTCCAAAGTTCCTGACACAACATTATAGGAGAGCTCCCTCAAACTCCATTTGAACTACAAACAAAGGTACTTGGGGTTTGTGATTAGGCATGTATTGGTCCTGATAATAAGGGATTTTCTTTTGGGACTTCAGTCACCATTACTGAGATTCTAGAACTATTGAGATCCACTCCAATGGTCTCCTAAACCCCCATGTAATGACTTCCTCAAAAGCCCTCCTAGTCTGGGGACCTGCTTCCCTTACCTACTGTAGTATATTCTCCTTTCTTTGGTGCCAAAATAAACCTGAAATCTCACCTCTGTATGGGTATCTGTTTGGGGAAGACCCTTTACCCTCAATTCCACAACTTTCAAACTGGGGTATGAACACCCTTTATACTCAAAAGATAAATCCTAATTTGGAAATGCTATCAAATCCATATTCAATACTCTTCCAAAAAAAACACCATCCCCTCTATCCTGGAACCCATCCTAAGGAGTGATGCTTCTCTGGAACTGCCTCTTAATACCAGGCCTCCCCACCCAGTTCAGACCTTTCCCAACTGCAAAGAAAATGTTGAACTCACTCTTGAAGGTTGCTCCCTCTCTTTGGTGACCCTTCCCATTCAAGGGGTTCGTGCTTTCCTCCAACACTCATTCCCCAGCACCTAGCTATCTTTTCCAACCCTCAAGTACATTCCTCCAACCAGGAAACATACTTTCACAGCAGAACACTGCTAGTTAAGTGCCATTCTCTCCTGCTTCTTTGTCTCCTCTCCTGGCTTCTCCTTGAATTTCCAAGGTGGAGGGGGGGACAATTTCCACAAGTCCAAAAAAACAAACCTGCATTTCTATTGGGTGGAGCACTGAGAATGAAAGAATAAGGAAAGCAATTTCTAGCAAGGAAGAAGAGAAGGTGAAAGCAAGGGAGTGGAGGACATTAGGTTGCTCTCCATGATCTGAGTCCTGTCCTGAGAATCTCCATACGGCATGTCCTCCTCAGACACAAGCACAACTTAGAGAGCCAAAACCTAGTCTCAACCTTCTCCCATGATCTGGGGACACCTCTGGATGCCATTCCAATCCAAAATATCATCCTCTTTTACCACCCTTCTACCTGGGAATAAAATCTAATCTGGGAACCTGCTTCCCTTACCTACTATAAAAGACCTTCTCCTTGGACATCTGTCTTTAAAACCTTACCCCAGAAGAGTATATTCCCTATTCTGAGACATACTCACTCCTAAGATAGTATTTATCTTCCTACTCTAAGGGAGTTTCTTAACCCAGAATGATCACTTATCATTTGTTCATTCCATGCTACAAAACAGGCATCACTCAAAGTATTCATTCATTCATCAGATATTAATTGAGTACCTACTCTATGCCAGGCACTATGCTGGATGCTGGGAATATAATGGTGAACAAGACAGATGGGGTCCCTTCCCATATGGAGGAGTCTAGCAGGAAAGACAACTAATCAAGCAATAATAATGAAGTGTGATAAGGGCTATAACAGGGGAGCTCAATGCTGTGACATCACATAGCAGGAACACCTAACCTCATCTACAGAGAGTCCTGGAAGGCTTCTCAAAGGAAGTGGCACCTAGTTGAGACAAAGGATAAGCAGGAATGAGACAGAAGATGAAGAAGGGAGAGTGTTCAAATTAGAGGGAACAACATAAGGGAAGGACTGGAGGTGAGATGAAACATGGTAGGTGGTTTGAGAAACTTGAATGAATGAACACAATATTTGATATATTTGTAATAGTCAATGGTTCTATTTGAAAAGTCATTTCTAGACCATAAAGACACTACAGAGAAGAAAGCTGAAAGCAAAGAGTATGCTTCATTCCTTTACACACCTTCTGCCCAGTAAGTAGCATCAGCTGTGAAACGTCCCAGAACTTACCGCCCAGTGCGCTGAAGTTCTGGCCCACTGTGGCCCCCATGTGGTTCTGGTTCTATGTGGCATATGTTTCCATTTGGAACTCCAGGCATTTTCCTTTTCTCCTATTAAGAGAGGGGCACAAAATTAGTAAAGTCAGCCATCTATTCTGTCCTACCTGTTAACAGGTGGGCAAGATGATGGGATAACCCAAAATCAGCCCAAAATGCCCAAGTGTTTCTCTGTAACGTTTAAATGCATTTTTTTATTTAGAGCAGTTTATTGACCTTCCTTTGTGGGGGGAGGTAATATATATATATAAAATTTTCTACTAGTATCTGGCTCTTCACTCTGCCTTGCCCAAAAACAGGAAAAATTGGGACTTTGGCATCAGATATGACCTACAGTTCAAGTTTCAAATTTGCCTTTGTATAATCTCACTTTACCTTAAAACTTTGCCCTAGAAGACAGGAGTTTTTCTTTTTTTTTCCCCCTCAAGTTTTATTTCTCATTTGTAAAAACAGGAGAATAATACCTATTTGGGATATTGCTGTGAAGATTAAATTAGCATATTTAAAGTACCTGGCCTTTCCAACTTTAACATGTCCAAAAAAAGTATGCAGGAACTCTGCTCTCCCTATACCACTTTCTGTTTTCATCTGATGGCTTTGTACATGATGTACTACCCCCAAAAATGTCCTCCCCTCTCCACTCTGCCATTCCACATGAATCCTTCAAAACTTGGCTTAAAATTCATCCACAGATAATCCTGACTGACCTCATCACACTTGAGCCGATCTATGTTACAGCACCTTCACTTTTTATTACTGTTCTGACATTCTAGGTGCCCCAATAGAGGGGCATGTCTCCATTTATTTAGCATAAACCCACCAGTCTTTGCTCTGTCCATTGTGGGCACTCAGTAAGTGATGCTAATGACCACTGCCTGATGTGCATACATTACCTGGGAAGGGACATTTTTGGGTGGCTCAATTCTAATGGTGGGGTCCCATTCCCCTGGAGGGAGCACCGTCACCTGGTCCAGGAACTCATCAATCCCTGCCAGGAGGTCATCTCTCTCTTTTGCCTTATATGCCACATCATGAAAAATCTACACAGAAGAAAAAACATTCAGGAAAGTTGAAAGTAACTTCACTTAAAACAATCATCAACTGACATGGTGAAGGATGGATACAATCTCTTGATCTTTATGTCTGTCACAGGGATCGAGATGCAGAAAACTGAGTACTTGGAGAAGTACAAGGATAAATGGATAAAAGGATTTAAAAAAAAAAGAACCAGGATGAGATAGGTCAAAAAGAACTAAATATATATCTGTTCGTATTAAGTAGAGATAAGACAGTGACTCTAAAGTTGTACAATTCTATTATCTCCTCAAAGAATGGAACAAAAGGCAAGATACATACAAAATTCTCCTGATCGTAATGGACAGAAAAACTGGAATGGAATGGAATTACTAATGATGTTCCTCTACGTAAGAAGCCTCCCAATCAAAGAGAGCTTATAAACACAGCCCGCATCTCCCTTTGCTTCCTGAGACAAATGCATCAAAAGCCCTGCTTTCAGCTCACATGAGCAGGGTAGTTCTCACCACTCTGCATTACAGGTTCAGCAAAATGTCTAAATGCCTTACTATGGACATGTCAGGACATTCACATTACAGTGCCCGAGGTCATACACCTGGTCCCTATACAACTGGTCTCATTTATATGCAACAGCAGTGAGGTTTCCTCATGTAAATAGCTTAGATGCATTTAATTAACCACCCTCGCTAGAAAGTTAAATCAGTTTTAATGTATTCTCTCTAAGTATCCTCCTTGGCAATAATAATTTTCCCAGAAAAAGATTTCTCTGCCTCCTTGATTACTCAAAAAGGGAGAGATGACATAGGAGGAAAAATCCCCCAGAGGGCTTGGTCCCCCCCGCCCCTCATCCACAATAGGCTCTCAGAGACATCCCCTTAACTGCTTCCCAGCAGTCATTGCAATTATAATTATTTTATCCCCAACACCTAGCACAGTGCCTGACACAGAGTACGCTCAATAAATATTTACAGGATGAATGATTAAAAAGCAGAAGTGGGGCATACCTCATCTGTCATGATGGTGGCCATAGATCTGCCAATTTCATGGTACTGCTGGCCTTTCCCTACTGGACCCAATAAAATAAACAAAAACCTGGCAACACACACAGAGGATGAAATTATGTAAGTAAACATAAAGAAGTGGCATCTTACGCCTCTCTAAACGGCAGAACGTTTTTCTCTCCTATCAAACAGAAATAATCACTGCACCTTCAATAAACAGCGGCATACTAATGATGGAACAATATGAGTTGCCGTGACCTAATAGCTCCACTATGGGCTTGGGTGTGACTCCATTCAATAATGTGGTTACATTTCTGAGAGTTTCCATAGACACAAGTCCTTGCCATAAAAAGGACAGTGTTTTCAAAACATGGCATTTTTACTGCACTGTAAATTCAAGGTTATCTGAATCCCATTCATTGCTCTAATAAGAAAATGATGGGTAGAGAAGAAGGCTAAAGAAACTGAAATGATTAAACCCCACAGAGGAGTCTAAACTGTGTTCTGGACATCTGAATCTTGTGTTATTAATGGGACTCTGAATTACCTGCATCACCAGAGACCAGGAACAGCCTTTTGAACAATAGGGGCATATCTGCAAATGATACAAACCCTGCCAGAACTGTGGAAAGAGAGAGACACCAATACCTTTGCTCAGAGACATTGCCCTGGGATACGGCTCTATAGAACTGGAAGAGTTAAGACTTAGGCTTGCCATCATAACAAATTTGGCCCTTACTATGCCCTTCTAGGAGCCCTGGTGGCATAGTGGTTAAGAGCTCAGGAGCTAACCTAAAGGTTGACAGTTCGAATCCACCAGCTGCTCCTTGGAAACCCTATAGGGCAGTTCTACTCTGTCTTATAGGGTCGCTATGAGTCGGAACTGACTTGACGGCACCTAGCAACAACATGCCCTTCTAATTTCCTCAGTTTTCCACTTCCAAGGCTGTAGGTACTATGCAGTCCAAGCCTTAAGAATCTTAGAATTCTTCTGCATGGTGGTTAATCAAATATACCCCAGTTTTCTGGAGAAACCCCCAGAGTATGGCCCCCGGGCACCCTTTTAGTTCGGTAATGAAGTCACTCCCGAGGTTCACCCTTCAACCAAAGATTAGACAGGCCCATAAAACAAAACAAGACTAATGGGGCACAACAGCCCAGGGCAAGGACTAGAAGGCAGGAGGGGACAAGAAAGCTGGTAATAGGGAATCCAAGGTCAAGAAGGGAGAATGTTGATATATCGTGGGGTTGTTAACCAATGTCATAAAACTATATGTGTACTGTTTAATGAGAAACTATAAGTTCTGTAAATCTTCATCTAAAGTACAATAAAAAAATTTTTTTTTTAAATGTACAAAATAAAAAGATGGTCATAAGTGCGGTTCATCATAAAATATGTGTATATATCCCAGTTTTCTGAGTTTATACAGCATTCTCAGAATTAATTAATCCTAAATTTTGGTATTAAACTAGTTTCTCCCATTAGAGCTCACATAAATCTGGATTTTAGTTAGAATGCACTAAGATTGGTTATCTTTGTCTTTACCTTGTTGGGATCGGCACTTCTGTCAGGCCTGAGAGAAGAACAGCTGGAGACAGCCTCACAAAAGCAACAATGGGGCGGTCCAGAGTATCCACCTCTCCAACCAGGACATTTGAGGCCTCTGCCCCAGTGGGAATTTTTTTCATGAAATGAAGGTCCACCTGAAAGTCCAAAATAATCCTCTGACTGGGGAGCCATCACCTCAACATCAATCATCCTCCTCTTACTTTACATTCATAATGACATTTTATAGTCTATCAAATATTTTCTCATATTACCTCATTTGATCCTCACAATAACCCTGTAAGGTGGATAAGACAGGTCTTATTAGCCTCACTTTAAAAAAAAAAAAAAAAAATGAAGCAACTGAGACCCAAGAAGTGAGGTTGACTTACCCATGACCACACAACTTTTCAGAGATAGAATCAGGATTTAAATCCAGGTGTTCTGATTTGAATTCCATCACACTATGTTCCTCAAAGAGGAATGCTTTTGAAGATTTGGGTCAAATTGTTTCCATTTTCAAATGTTTTAATGCTTTATCAGAGGTTTCAGTTTTTTTCTAAATAAAATGGGAAGCTTTCTGAGAAGTGACATGACACTGCTGTGTTTTAGAAAGATAGTGTGTCAAGGAGAAAGAGAGCAAGGAGAACTGGAGACATAAAGAGACCAAGGCTGGAACCAGTAAACTACTTCTATGGAAGGGCTTGGATACTAAAGTCACAGTCCCAAAAAGAGTTTCAACCACACGGGAGTTTTAGGAGACAACAGCAAAAGTATTATTCTGACAAAACCCACAAAGGTTAGAAGGAGCAGCTGGAGAGCAGGTATCAAAAAATAACTGAGAAATTAAGAGGTCTGTGTCAAGGAAGACACTCTGTGGCTATTCCCAGTTTCATCATGTTGAATCTGGATGAACAAACTAATGAGGAGAAGGGAATAGGCTGGGGTAGAAGGGAGAAGACATAAGCAGATGGGCCTCCTTTTCTGCAGACGGGGCTCTGGTCTTAGAAAAAGGATCTTGAAATACCAAACCTCACCCAGCTTCTAGCAATTGGATCCTAGGCTATAAGCCAATTCCCATATCTCTGCTCACCTTGCTTAAATCCACAGGGCTGTGTTCACAATTCATTCCATTTTTTACTTCAAGATTTGTAGTTGGAACAGACTGAGGAGACACAGTTTGACCTATTTGGAGAAAATGAAACCGAATTCTCTTGAGTCCCTGCCCTTTTCCCCTTCTGGCTCACCCCATCCACCATCAGTTGGCTATGACTCTCTCTTGAAAACCTACAGGGGGAAGAAGTTGAGATGCTGTGAAGCCAGGACCCACACATACCTATCTACTTGCCTACTCATTAGGGTTAAAGGGAAGATAGAGGTCTCATTACTTCTGTACCTTCTTCCTGAACACATTTATGACCCTCTTTTCTATCTCTATTAAGGCAGTAATCCTTAACCAGAAGGGCATATCAAAGACCCCTATGAAGGACTCTTCAAAAGTATAGCTTCCTAGGCATATCTCTTGCACATTGTGATTCAGTAAATGTGGAGACCAGGAGACCAATATAGACTGACCTTGCCTGGCCACAGAAAAGGTAACTAATCAGCAGCTGAAAATCATTGAGTGTTTATAACCATCGTGTACCGAGCTAACGCTTTTATATGGATTAACTTGTTGAAGCTTCATAATAATGGGGTAGGTCCTATTATTATCCCTGTTTTACAGATGAGAAAGTGAGACTTGAAGAGGTTTAGTAGGTTGCCCACTTTGCAGATGGTGAAGCCAGAACTTGAAACCCAGAAGTTGGACTCAAGAGCTTCACTACTATATTTTGCCTCCTTCTAAGTTTCTAAAAAGAATCACATTTGGCCTAAAAAGCTCCAGCTGACCTTTTGTGGCCCCAAATAGACCCTAATGTAGAAATCTTCCAAAAGCCATGTTAGTTTTGATGCTACCCTGGGGCACAAGTCCTTTATCTTGAGTCCACTGAGGTCTATCTGACGTGTGCATCCCTGATGCTACACAAGAAAGATGGGTACCATCCCAGCCACCCATCTTACCCATCACCAAAAAGTACTAAGTATTCAAATTGGCACGGAGCATATTAGACAAATGTAGCTCCCTAGTAACTTAGCATCTCCAACTAGTTCTCAAATGTCTTATTTGTAAAGACAGAGAGCAGTCATTCCTAAAAATCTTACCATTTTTGTCCATTGAATGTGGATCAGACTGCTTCTTGCCAGCCTCAGCAAAAGAGCGAACAATGGGAATGAGGTTGTTTCTCTTCTTTTCATTCTGATGATGATGCTTTTTGAGAAGGGCTTCCCGCACTTTAATCCTCACGCTGTCATTCAGGTCACTGGACAGTTCTTGCTGGTCCAGGATCAGGTCTGGAAAGTAGGCGCTGACATGAACACTCGGACTGATGGTCAACAAACCCAAGGAGGCCAGTGTCAGGAGGGGTGGGTGTGAGGGGGATGGGGTAGGTGAAGCATTTCCACCAGGGTCACTAAGGTGCAATTTCAGTTTCAGTGTCTGAAAAAGCTAGTGATGATAGCATCTGTGAAAATCATACTTTCTCATATAATGAATCATTATATTATTAAGAACAGAAACTATTGAGCATTTAATATGTGCCAGGAACTATATTATGAACTTTATATATATAATCTAATGCCCATAAAAATCATGAGAAGTACATATTATCATAACAATTTTTACAGATAGGGAAATTGAGACCCAAATAGTTACAAAATTGCCCAAGGTCACACAGCTAGTAAGCTGCAGAGCTAGAACTCAAACCCAGGACTGTTTGACTCGAAAGTCCACATTATTACCACTTTGTTCTGCCATCTGCCAAAGTTCCCCTGCATTCCTTTCCTCCAGGATTTTAATATTGCTGTGATTGTTAAGGGGAACTGTAACTGTAAAACTCAAAGCTGAATGTGGGACCTATAAGAATAATTAACTGACCACTCACTGCCAACAATTATCATCAAGCATCAACCTTAAACCTGTCTAGCCCAGCATAGCTGAGGGGGAAAACAATTCAAATACCTGGTGTTGAGAGGCAGTTGGCACAGTGGTTAAGAGCATGGGTTCTGGAGCTAAAGAACCACATTCTATCCCAGTTCCACCACTTTCTAGCTGTGTGATCTTAGGCAAGTTATATAACCTCTCTGTACCTTAGTTCCCTCATCTGTAATATGGAGCTAATAATATCACTTACCTCAGGGGCCTGTTCTGGAAAATTAAGTAATAATGTATATGAAGTTTTGATTCACAGTAAACACTTGATACAGTTTACCTATCCTTATCACTAACATTATGAATATATCAGATACCTGATATGAAGAACCTTGGCAGTTTTACTTCAATTCTACCTATCTACCCCCAAGCCTCCCCTAAACCCCAACATATTCTCAACTTCTAACTCCATACATTACTATCCAAGGCTAGAAGCAATGAATGAGGATCCATGTTTCTGTAACTTTAGCCTTTATACTGATTTATACTTCAGGATCTTTCATCTTGGGGAGGAAAAAAAAGAATCTCCACCCCTCTATCTACTACCTCTTCTCTCTCCTTTCATTTATGGTTCCCCAAAGAAAAATTCCTCGGCCCCTTGCAATTTGGCTACCCCAATGAAACTGCTCTTGATAAAAATCATCAATAACCTTCCAGTTGCTAAATCCAATGGATATCTACAGTCCTCACCTAGCCTGACCTCTCTGCAGCATTTGGCCCTAATGAAATGAAATGAAATTCATCCCACAGCTGAGGATGTTAAGGCTGGGAAGTTAAGTGACTTGCCTAAGGATATGGAGCCACTTTATTCGTTCCTCTACACCATACCTCTTAGTTTACACAAAAATTCCTGTTTTCTGTCACCTAACCTTACCTGAAATTTCTTCTATGCTGTTAGCACGCATATCCAGAAGGACCGTTCCATTAATAAGGCAGCTTCTTAGCTCAAAGAGACTGTGCAATGAAAGGGTTGCCACGTAAGGCTTGCTCCAGCGTTCTCCCCCATCCTCAACATCTTCTTCAAACTTCAGCCATCTGAAAGGATTACAAATAACTAGATGCCACAGAAAGTGAGGAATTTTCAAGAGAGAATCTTTAATGGATGCCACAAAGAATGATATCTGAATAATCACATTGAACACTGTAGGATTTAATCTGTATGTTCAGGGTACACTGGTAAGTAAAAAAAAAAAAAAAAGCAGGCTATAAAACAGTGCAGGATTGAGTATAATTTGATTTCAGTTTTAAGAAAAATTTAAAAATACATATATGGGTATAAGACACCAAAATACTATATTCCTCATTATCCCTGGGATAGTGAGATTACAGATAATTTTCTTTTTTTTTGTTTATCTTTATTTTCTAATCTTCTGTAATGAACATGCATTACTTGTGCAATTAAAAAAATAGATCTAACCTCTATCTTTTAGACACATTGACAAATTACATAAATAAAATGATAATGTTTTTCTTTTTAAAAAAGTCAACCATTTGAAAAAAGAAAAGAAAAGAAAGGGCAACCACAGTATTCTGTGTGACCTTAAGAAGTTCACAAAGACAGAACGATAAGCCTAATTGCCTTTTCACTTGGTATCGGGCCAATTGGCCGGTTTAATCTTTTCTACCCATAGAAAGCATCCACAGATACAGTCGGTATCTTGGAAGAGCTGTTCCAATGAGAGCTGGATCTACGTTTTGCCAGTTACCTACTTTGCCTCCTTCCCTGAGGCTCAGGCATGCTGGCTTTGTAGCATCCATAAGGCTCACTGGTCAGTTATTGAAAAAGCTCTAGACATGGCCCTGGTTAATCTGAGCGCTCTTCAGGGGTATGAACATGAGACAAGCATGGTCATTCTACAATTATCCCAGGAAGCCTAGTACCTGGCTGGCTATAATCCCAAGGGTCTCTGTGCGGTTGAATTATCCCAGATAAAATTAAATTCTCAAAAATTCTTGGACTTCTAGTGAATTAAAAACCCAAATGACCCCATGGTTCACCTGCAGGAAAAGTCTGGAGCATGCTATGTCTGCTGGGCTAAGTGTAAACCAAGGTGGCCCCACCAGGCATCTTCTAAACCAGACCTACAACACCAAGATAACCCATGAACCAATCTGGGCCCCTCTCCCAAAATGAGAGAGGACCCCCTGAATGTTTCATGTTTAAGCCAATCCCAGGCCCAAGGTCAGTTGGCATAGGTATGACCAGAGACATCACAAAGAAATCAACACCAAAACGGCCCACAGGAAACTCTGGCACATCGGAACCCACATCAGTCATCACTCCTCCCACAAAGAAATAAAAGGCAAACAGGCAGGCCTGTAACTTGCTGAAAGGTACACATTTGCCTACCCAAGCAGATTTTGATCAAGATTATCTTAGGGCCTCACCTGGCTGTCTCCTTCCACGCAGCATCTTCTCCTTCTTTCATACAGATCTCATCCAGCTCTGTGAACAGCTCATGAGGCACATGCTCTTCATCTTCCTCAGTGCCAAGAATGAACTGAACACGCTGAGATGGTGTGTCTGGAAAATCAATCACAGAGAAAAGTCTGCTCCTAGCATCAAACTTAGAACAGAAATAACATTCTGCCTTACTTAGTGCATCTAGGTGGCCTAACAACTTCAGGAATGCACCAAAGACAATCCTGAACGCAGATCAGATTTTTCTTTATTCCCAGAAAGAAACTATTCTGTGGAAGCAGTTTCACAGGAGGAAATATTCATGAACGGAGACCATTTTCAAAAAACCCATAAGAAACTGAAAACCTGACTAATTTGATTAAAAGGAATGGCTAATTATTCAATAAACAATTTTACCTACTGTGGTATTGTTTTTTGGGGGCTGGAACTGTGAAGTTTTCAGAAATATACTTTTGATTCTTAGAGATGTTTCTTCTTGGAAGCAAGCTCTGAAAACCCTAAAGAAGGACTAGAGAATCAAGACCACCTGCTTGATATCCCTCAGCATCATCAAGCCTCCCAGCCATAAACACCCACCCTCTCTCCTGAGCATATTAATTACCGTGGGCCAAGGCCTCCTGGCCTTCCTCCCCCTGACTGGCTCCTTTGGCTCGCCCTCGTCTCCGGTGCTTCTGGCCATGGGTTCGGTGATGCCGATGGCTCTGCCGACCCAGGGCCATCCGAACCCCCACGTACAGAGTTCTATGACCTGGAAAGAAGAAGAAGGTCTGTGGAGGGAACTCCTTTATTTAGTAAAAGGAGCCTGGCATATTCAGGAGAAAAACAAAGCTCACAGTTCTGGGGCCTGGTCACACCTCTGTAATGACTAAACTTCAAAGACTTCCAGGATGAAGATGTAGAGATTGCAGAGTTGAGGGTCTCCTCGTTCATCGTGCATGTGGCTGCAAATCTCATGGGCACATGGTGAAGATAAAGGAAATGTGTGTGAAAGTGATTTGCAAACTGTAAAGGCCAATACAGATGCCTGTAATTGACTAAGTGATTTTTACAAAGCAATCAGTCGCTGTATGCCAACTGCAGCAAATCTTGGCAGGGAGGCAATTTTTGAAGAGGGGTAAGAGCACGGGGTGGAGTCAGCCTACCTGGGTCCAAAACTTGGCTCCACCATTTGCTAGCCACGTGACCTTTAGCAGGTTATGCAATCTCTCTGTGACTCATCTTTAAAAGATAATACTACTAGCTTATTATTAAAACTCATAGAGTTTCTGTGAGCAGTAAATAAGATAATGTATGTAAAATGCTTACTACAATGCCTGGAATAAATGTTAGCCAATACAGTCTAAGATCAGCTTCCATAATTTATTTCTGCATTGTGAAATACAATCTACAATAGTAGTGACAGACTAGTTACAAATCGTAAGGAGCATGAGGCTGGGGTTCAAGGGAGAGATATTAAATGCCATACAAAGAGAGGGGAACTTTAGAAAATAAGTGATCCAGTAGCATTTCCTCCTTAGTTCCTCTTCTCCTACTCCCTCATTCCTTCTATACACCTGCTTTTTTGTTGTTGTTGTTCATGACTTCCAGGTCTCTGCCACCTCCATCTGGCTTCATAGATATCCTGTCAAGCCTGGAGCCTAGAATCAGTAAGCTCTCCTCAATACCAGTCCCCCACCCCTCCACCCCACCTGCTTGGTCTTCTCTCATTTCTGCCTGGTTACCATTGCTTAGCAATCTAGATCTCAGGCTAACTCCCCACCATCTTCCACTACAGAAGCTGTTCCAGTCTTTAGCCTCTGTCTTCAAATTCACAACCTTATCCACATTCTGTCCCCTCTGAGCAGGTGACCTAGCTTCATATTTTATTGAGAAGACTTAGGCTATCTCATGTGAACTCCCTCCACCTCAAGCTGGCTAGCTTCCCCCCTCCCCCAGCTTCTCCTCTTTGCCATGCTAATGACTAAGACTCTTGATCCCAGTTGCTTCCCATCCATCTGGAGTCCTACTGCATCAGTTATCCTCAGTTTCTCCTTTCCATCCATCTTTTCCACAGGTTTCTCCTGACTACAAACATGCTCACGTCTCCGTTTCCTTAAAAAGAAATCTTCCCAATGCAGTGCTACTCTCCCAAGCCTCTGCCCTTGTTTTCTTCTCTTCTCCATCAAACCACTTTTGAGAATATTCTATAGATCTGGCTCCCTTTCCTCAACCACCTCCTTGTTCCACAGCCTCTGAATGTGGCGTCTGACCTCATTCTCTACTGAAATTGCCCTCACTAAAGATACCAAAGACCACTTAATCACTAAATCCCTATCATCTGACATCTGTTTCAGTTCAATTCAAAAGACTTTCCTGGGAGCCCAATGTGTGCCAAGCAGTATCCCTATTCTTTACCACTTCCTCTTTCTTAATGCTTTCGGTTCCCTTAGCTCTTGTGACACTGCCCTCTCCTGGTTCATTTGCCCTCCTCTGACTAGGCCTTTTCGATCCCTTCTACCATTCACCAAAGTAAGGCTCCCCAGGTTTCCGTCCTTGGTTCTCTTTTCTTCTCTCTTTCAGTGATATCTACTGTCTTGATTTCAAAGTTCACTTCTACATATGACCCCAAATCTTTATCTACTGTGATTCAACATGCCTCAAAGCAAACTCATCATCCTCCATCTCTAATTGGGATCATACTCATCTCTTCCCTGCTTCTGTTCATGACATCACCATTGTCTCAACTTTCCAGGCTTGAAACCTCAAACTTACCTTGGATTTCCACCTCTACTCCTTCCCCCTTCATTGCCATATCCCATAAATTAGGGATGTCAAGTCTTTCTCTCCTCCCACTTTGACAGCAGAGACCTCCTTTATGCCTCCCACACCAATTCGACCACACAAATTAATGCTCCTGAAGTAATGTTCTGATCACAGCTCACCCACTACACATTCAGGGCTGTCCGTGCTCGCATGCTTCCACACCATACTCGTTTTTTCTTCCTTTAGGGAAAATTATACTACCAGTGGGAAAGTAAAAGGAAAGACCTCTAAAACAACTGAGTGATCAGCTCAAGACGATGAAAGTGGAAATTTCATATGCTCACACAGAATAAAAACTCTAGGAAAAAAAGAATCTAGAAGTGTACATTTTCTGCATCTCTAATCCAGCAACAAAATGGCCAGGGTTTTTTGCTTTGTTTTAATTTTATTTATTTTGTTGTTGTTGAGAATATACACAGCAAAACATACAATTCAACAGTTTCTACATGTACCATTTAGTGACACTGATTATATTCTTCGAGTTGTGCAATCATTCTCACCCTCCTTTTCTGAGTTGTTCCTCCCTCATTAACATAAATTCACTGCCCTCTAAGGTTTCTATCTAATCTTTCCATTTGCTGTTGTCAGTTTGATCCTGTACAGGTAGTTGGTTCTTCATACAGCATAATGCTCAAGGCAAATATTTTTTACTAGTTAAGCTAAACTATTGTTTGGTTTTAAGAAGACTTCAGGGGATATTTTTGGTTTAAGGTTTAAAGATGATCTCAGGGCAATAGTTTCAGGGGTTCATCCAACCTTCATGGCTCCAGAAAGTCTGAAGTCCATGAGACTTTGAAATTCTCTTCTGCATTTCCCCCCTTTTGATCAGGATTCTTCTCCAGAAATCTTTGAGCAAAATGTTCAGTAATGGTAGGTGGGCACCTTCCAGTTCTCCTGGTCTCATAGCAAAAGAGGCATTTGTTCATAGAGGCAATTAGTCACACGTTCCATATCCTTCTCCTATCCTGACTCTCCTTCTTCTTCTGTTGCTCCAGGCGAACAAAGACCAATTGTTGTGCCTTGGATGGCTACTTGCAAGCTTTTAAGACCCCAAGCACTAACTACCCAAAAAACTAAGAGGTAGAACAGAAGCACTAAACATGTTATTATGCCAATTAAGTGGGACAGCCCATGAAACCATGATCCTAAATCTCCAAACCAAGAAACCAAATCCCATGAGTTTAAGCAGCCTCAGTAGCAACTTTTCTTTTTTTTGTAAATATATCTATCATACAACTTTTCCTAATTCAACTTTTTACTGGCGTACAACTTAACAGCAATTACAATAATCAGCTGTGCAGCCCTACCCTTAATCAATGTGATATTTCCATCACTGTTAACCTCTCCTTTCCCCCTACATCCCACCCTTAGTAACTACTAATAAACTTTGTTCTCTATACATTAGCCTTTTCTTGTCTTTTTATGTTAGTAAGGTCATACAATATTTGTCCTTTTGTGATTGACTTATTTCACTCAGCGTAATGTCTTCCAGCTTCATCTATATTGTGGCATGTATCAAGATTTCATTTCTCCTACTGGTTAAGTAGTATTCCCTTGTATGTATGTACCACATTTTGTTTATCCATTCATCTTTTGATGGGCATTTAGGTTATTTCTTATTTCCACCTTTTTGGCTATTGTGAATAGTGTTGCAATGAACATTGGTATACAAGTCTCTGTTTGAGTCTCTGCTTTCAAGTCTTTTGGGTATATACCTATCCATGAGGATTTTGGGTATAACCCATGAGAATTTTGGTTATGCATAAGCAACCTCAACAGCTACTCTCTTTTTGTTGTTGTTGTAAATATATCTATCACACAACTTTTGCCAATTCAATTTTTTACAGGTGTACAACTTATTGATAGCAATTACAATAATTGCAGAATGGCCTGGTTTTGACTCCCTCTACTCCTCATGGCCCTGGCTGCTGCAGTCACTATCATCTCACACTCTCCCTCTGTTGTTATTGCTCATAGGTGCCATTGAATCAGTTCCAACTCATAGTTATCCCATGTACAACAGAACAAAATACTGCCCAGTCCTGCACCATCCTCACAATCGTTGCTATGCTTGAGCCCACTCTTGCAGCCACTGTGTCAATCCATCCCATTGAGGGTCTTCCTCTTTTTCACTGACCCTCTACCAAGTATAATGTCCTTCTCCAGGGACTGGTCCCTCCTGATAATATGTCCAGAGTATGTGAAACCGTCTCACCACTCTCACTTCTAAAGAGCATTCTGGCTGTACTTCTTACAAGACAGATTTGTTTGCTCTTCTGGCAGTCCATAGTATAGTCAATATTCTTCACCAACACCATAATTCAAAGGCATCAATTCTTTTTCAGTCTTCCTTATTTATTGTCCAGCTTTCACATGCATAAGAGGAGACTGAAAATACCATGGATTGGGTCAGGCACACCTTAGTCCTCAAAGTGACATCTTTGCTTTTGAACACTTTAAAGACGTCTTTTGCAGCAGATTTGCCCAATGCCATGCATCGTTTGATTTCTTGACCGCTGTTTCCATGGACATTGATTGTGGATCCAAGTAAAATGAAATCCTTGACAACTTTAATCTTTTCTCCACTTACCATAATGTTGCTTATTGGTCCAGATGTGAGAATTTTTGTTTTCTTTATGTTGAGGTGAAATCCATACTGAAGACTGTAGTCTTGGATCCTCATCAGTAAACGCTTCAAGTCCTCTTCACTTTCAGCAAGCAAGGCTGTGTCATCTGCATATCGCAGGCTGTTAATGAGTCTTCTTACAATTCTGATGCTTCCTTCTTCTTAATACAGTCTGGCTTCTCAGATTATTTGTTCAGCATACAGATTGAATAAGTATGGTGAAAAGATATAACCCTGATGCACACCTTTCCTGATTTTAAACCATGCAGTATCCCCTTGTTCTGTTTGAACAACTGCCTCTTGGTCTATGTACAGGTTCT